GGTGCTGTGTTATCACCACAAATCGAGCAACCGGATCTGTCTCAGCTCTGAAAGAACAGGCTTTAGTGTGACTGGAGAATACTTCTGGGATGCCTGGTCGCAAGCCTGACTGCTATCCAACAGACAGCTGGAAATGCCCTAGAGTCCATAAAGAAGATTAGATAGTCGTTGTCCTAAACAAATTTAAGGCAGCACCTTCACTTTAGTGTTTGAAGTCTGGCTTCTCCCAGAAAAAGGCTTAATGAAGAAAACTGGTAGGCAGATGGACTGAGGTATGAAAATTGAATTAGAATTTAAATTTAGATGTGGCCTGTGGTAATCCTATAAATTATGGGTGTTGCGAGACTGGCTGCAGGGAGCTGCCTTTTTGTGCTCTCCTACTCGATATGCCGGCTACAAGAAAGATAATTTGTACTGAAAAGGAGAAGGGGATTGCCTAGCTCAGCCTGACTTTTAGGAAGGAAAGTCTTGTCTCAAGGTAGGAACACATGATGTTCTTCAGGCATCTTTTACACAAGATACAAAACCATCATTTCATCCTGAAGCAGAGGATATCTGGGGAGAATGCGGCGAAGTATATCCTGGCAGAGCCTGACTTACATGTAGGCAAGAAAATAATCTAAGTTCCAGTGTCTAATGGAAAGATTCACTGCAGAGCCCCACAGAATACACGTTATATTTACTGTTGTAAGTGGTTCTGCAGTGATGTGCCCTGTTCAGATTTAAGGTGGCATGTGAGCTATCAGGTGTGGTGGCGCTGAACACCGGACAGCACGGAGCAGTGACGTGAGTGACAAAGTCTGCAAGAAACAGGAGGGTGATCAACAGAAGGAGTGACAGATTTGTCAAGGCAGACACACAAAACTGTTGAGTCCATGTCAGTAATTTAGTGCTGTACTTGGTATTTCAGCCTAAACAAGCAAGACTGTTAGTCCATACAACAATCTAAATCTTCCAGTGCACTTCTGTAAGCTGCCCTATGTCATATCAGGGAGCTAGCTTCCATGGAAGAATCATTCTTTTTTAATTCAGCCCTAACTGAAGAGAATGTCTTGTCAAAAGGATCAGTGAGAGTTGAGAATTTTACAAGCAATGGTAAGGATTTTCTCCAGCAATTTTCCAATTTGCTGCAATCCAGAAAAACTGAGGATGTAGGAGAAAGCATGAATTCTGGAATTACCACACAGATACAGAAGCCTCTGCTATATATGTTTAATTTATTTTTTTAAAGAAATGCCAGCACAACAAGATGAAATAGAGATGTGAGTCTGAATCTAGACTCACAAGGGATGTAATTATTCAGTGGGAAAAAGACAGTTATAACTATGTACGCAGTTGAATTTCAACTTGCTAAGGACCAATTATCCGGAAGAAAAAGACAATTAATAAGGAGACAATTGGAAAACAATGGAATCGGGTACATAAGAATCACATGAATTAATTAATCATTACCCTAGGCATTGTCCCAAGCCCAACTTAAGCATGAAGATCTGATTCTGAAAGCTGTTGAGCAATGTACCAGAAGGAGTTCTGTTACTTTGTTTTTAGGAATATGGGTATGGATATATTTATTTTTA